TTCATGCATAAACTTGCCAAGATCATGTAAGATCAGGCCTGATCTTGCATGATCTTGGACAAGATCATGTAAGATCAGGCCTGATCTTACATGATCTTGGCAAGTTTATGCATGAACTTGGCAAGCTTATTCATTATCTTGGCATGATCTTGGACAAGATCTTGTAAGATCCTATTTAAGATCTTGCAAGATTCTTATAAGATCTTAACAAGATCTTAGCAAGATGTTCAACCTGGGTTGACCAAATCAAGATACCAGTAAGACAACCTTGATTTTTAGATTTATTGACATGAAAAAATAGTGTGTGCATACCCCCCCCCCCCCCCCCCCCCAGAACGTGCCATACTGTACTACATTCCCATGCACAGCTGCTAAAAACATATAAACGTGTTAAGAATAAGTTTCACACAAAATTTACTCACATCTTTTGTTGCTCCCTTGAAATCATATTTTGCCACAACCTCAGTTCCAGCTTGCCACTATAAAAATAGAAAAAGTTTAGATTTTAAATTCCTTTGAACAATTAAAGAATTTTAAATACATATAAGCATTTAAAACAAGATGTCTATTATTAGCCAAGGGCTTTGGAAAAAATATGATAATGCCATAATCCATGTTATAACCCAGCAATAAATAAATATAATAAATATATATTTTTACACTCTGTCATGTATTGGTTCAAATGAGTCATGTTGTGGATGTTCACAAAAATAGCTGTTCAGCAAAAAAAAATCATACAAAAAGAAACATGGAAAGAAAGAAACTTAGCTTGTACAAACAAGCAAGAGTGAATTAAAAAGATTGGTTAATAGTGTGCAAATGTGTTCTTTAGTTTTATTAAGGTCCATTGTATAGTAAGGAATGGATGCACTAAGGAAAAATACAAGTTGATTAAAATGCCATGGGTTTTGGTTGAATAGCTGAATATTTTAACACACAAATTAGACTAAGAATAAGCAAAGAGTGTTTGAAACTTGAGTATTGAACAGTTTTCCTTGAATGGTGCATGCATGCACTATTTATCTTTATCAAACTCATTAATAATTCATGAGGAAAACACAACAGAAATCATGACCGTGAAGAGCGTTGTAAATCTTACAAAACTGTGTTCATTTGCATAAACTTTAAGTTGGATTTTCTTGGCCAAATTCACTTTAATTTTGAAAATTTTAGTGAAACACAAAGGAACTAACCTAGACGTTTGATAAGTCATTCGTGTCCGTGTTGTATCAGATATACTTGATCACTCGGCTACGCCTTGTGGTTGTATATCTGATACATACACGGCCACTCATACTGTATATATTACAAACATCTTTTATACGAATTCCCTAGCTCTTTTAAATTCCTTTATCAAATGGATTATAAGTACAATATAAAATTTATAGATATGCTAGTATGAATTTTAAAAAATTAAATTAAAAGAGTTAAAAAAATACTTTGTAGCCATAAGAAAGATTTTGTTATTTTTCCATATTTATTGTGATCTTTGGTTTATGGTCTTTGGCTTTCCAGATTTAGTTGCTGTTATATCATGGCCATACAATAAGAAAACAGTGTCTTAGCGAGGTCTTGACAACATGGGGAGTGGAGCAATGTACCATTTCATTTCATTTTTAAAGTTTCCCACCCTATATCCATTTCCTACATGAATTACTGACATTTTGGCACTGATATATACAAGAAACAAAACAGCAACAATAAAATTATTATTGAATAAAAAGCCTTGTTTATGCATTATCATATATGTGCATATTAGGAATATAAAATGGCGTGTATGTCTAAACACAGTACCTTCACATAAACACACTGTAACAACAATAAATATCATAGTAAAACACGAGGTACGTGTAGCTGAGTGTTTCATTTCAAGTATTGTACAGCTACAAGAATGTTTATATTATATATATATATTACAGTACACCAAATTTTAAAATGTTGTCTACTTGAAAAGGTTAAATTATCACAGCTAAGACCAAGGGGTATTCTGGGTATGGGAAATCCTGGTATGTGTAGGTTTAACGAACAAAAACATGTGCATAAGAGCAAACTAATACCTAAATGCTGGTCACATACTTATTCAGGCTGTGCTGGAATACTTCGTAAATGTCTTTACAAATGTGTGTTGGTCTCATGTTCAGATCAATGAATTGACTAATCAATGGATGTAACGAGGCTGAAGCATGAAGCAGGCTTTAATCTTTGGTGTAACAATGTTTCCTGATTGTAGTTAGCACTTTATAAATGTATCATTGAACTAGGGATGAATCTGAACTCAAAATCCAGGCAACAAACAAAGCAACACAAGTTTGCAGTTTTTATTTGTTGTGCATAATGGATGATCATAAAGAGATCATATTTTGATATTAAAGCTTCCATATTACAAAATTAACTAGCGTAAACATAGGAAGGCTTCCCTTTTAGTCCTTCATAGTTTTAATATGTTAGTAGGCTGTTTGGGACTTACAGGCAACTGCTATTTCTCCCTTTTTCTAAATAACCTACTAGGTGTCTGAATTGGGTAACCACTCTTCCTTACGCTGTATATCAGAAAGCTCTTATTCCCATGGGAAGATTAACACATGGTTCAAAGTACTTTTCAACTATGAACAATTGGCTCAGGGAAGTACGGGTGGCGTAGCGACGAGATTGCTCGCCCCTCACCAATGCGACCCGGGTTCGAGTCCCGCTGAACTCTGTGTCATATGTAAGTAGAGTTGTTTGTTGGTTCTCTCCTATGCTTCGAGGTTTTCCGGGTCCTCCAGCTTTCCTCCCTCCACAAAAATCAACTCCTAAATTCCAATTGGAATTACGGTGGATGAATAGCTACTCTGTAGAAATGCCACTGTTAATTCCCATTTATTTATTTATTTGACATGTTCAATCAAACTAATAGGCAAATATCTTGAAATCCACAAAAAACAGGCATCCCAGTTGTTTGTCTAAACTTGGAAGTCTATTGTCGCATATCTTCACTTGCTTACTTGTATTTAATTTGATATTTGCAGAAATTAGGACTTACTTGTGAAAATTATTTAATTTTGCTAAAAATAAGGCAATAGTCAAATACTAATTTTTTTTCACCATCAAAAACCTATTTGGTCGTACACCTTAACCTATATATATGTTAGCCTTTTTTTCGAGCCCTGACTATGTATGTAGAGAACTAATTTAATACTTACTCTAGACATTTTATCTGCCCCGGTTGTCTTATGGCAAGACCAAATCTGGGAAAGAAATGGTGAAAATGGTTACTCTCTTATTTACTGCAGTCTTCAATATTTTGCAAACTCAAACATTTCAACCGCTTGTTGTGCAATTGGTTTTTCACTGCCACCAGTGACAAGATCATAAGAGGTACCAACTGATTATTTTTGACTGACAGCAGTGAAAAACCAAATTTCAGGGGGGTGCAGCTTACAACTAGATTACTGAGTTTACAGAATTTCGAAAATTGCAGTATGACAGTATTTCATCATAGGTGCATGCTTGACTTATTACATTTTTCACAAGCGAGGCCCCGTTAGGGTTTTGGGATTAAGGATTATTAGGGGTTTTTAGAGAAGAGATACTGATTATTGAGCACTAAATTAAAGAATACAGATAATTAGTAAATAATGTTGCATTTTAAAATTACAGATTATTAACATCCATTAATTCTATTTTAAAGATATATTTGTTTCTAAACCTGAGAAACAGATTATTTTAAGAGTTTACACACGATTATGGATTATTCAGACCCCCTCTAACAGGACCTCACTGGCAAACATTTCAGTATAAAGCATAATTACTAAGGTTGAATATAAAACTTAGTAGATTGTGCATATGTATTTATAAAAACAATTAGATGCTCTTTCGTTTTCTTGATATTTAGTATCCTGTCTGATGGAGACAGTTACTTAAACTACTGGGCAAAGATGCCAAGACAATGTCAGCTCTAAGGAATATTCTTTCACTTCCCAAATTCCTTTACACACACACATATCCTGATACACCTACAGGGGCTACAGGTACAAAACTGCAATTTTCAAAGGCGGAAGTGTCTCCAAGTAGCTTTTGAAGTGATCCCACGCACCAGAATAAGAATCCACTTTCTGTATTCAGCCTTTTATTACATTAGTTTTTACCTATTTCAGCTAAGATAAAGTAAAACATTAAGAAAAGAGGGTGCTTATTCCACAAGATGCAAGATATTCAACTCACCTATCGTGAAGCTATGTCGGGTCTTCCTTTGAGATCTTAATTCAAGAGTGTTTCAAACGACAGTTCTACTAAGGAGGGAGAATCCCGTCTCACTCAACAGTTGATCTGCCAGATGAAAGGTTACAAATATATCATTTTTGTAGAAATCTCTGTATTCTAAGTTCCCTTGAACCACTTGTGTTGACTGATCACATTCGGCACAGGAAACAGGAAGGAATCCTGATGGTAGAGGGGGATCAATGTATTCACTTTTGCTCACACCCCAATGCTCAATAGAGTCGAGTCTCTCCTTCAGCACAGGAAGCCCAAAACAAGGTGGAGGGACTCCGATGTCAAAGTATTGGAAATGCCCTTTGTAGATCTTTTAGAGGTAAAATCAGCGAATTGGTATTTTTAGAAACTTAAAATTGAGATTTGGAATTTCGGCATTTTTTGGACTCTTTTAGCTTTGGAGGCTTTAAAAAACGTCCAACCACGCCATTTTTAAAATGACTTCGGGGAGTTCTAGGGGCATTTTCACAGGTAGCCCAAGCTAGATTCCTGTGGTATCATATCATAAGAAAATGTATATGACGATGTTTAAAAACCTCAAAAAAATCTTCAAAATGTGACATAAACTAAAGAAATGCTTACCTTTTAAGAGTAGCACCTCTTTCGCCCTGTGTACGTTAAAACTCATCAAATCAAAAATCTAAGTACAAAGGGCAAAGAGGTACTACTTTTTAAAGGTAAGCTAACATTTCTTTACTTTATAGGTTGCTATCAATAGACGTCACTTCCGGTAGTAGCTCTTTTTTAATGGCTTGTAGATTGAATCCTGGAGGTTGTTTTGATCTCTTGTTTTCTGGTTTGACGTCGTGAAACTGAGTCAAATACAATAGTTTGAGGACTTATTTTGATATGTTTTGACTTAGCATCCGCTAGTTGCCCCCAGTCAACCGCTTGTTTGCCCCCCAGTCAACTCCAAAAAGTCACGTGATTGATAGTAAGCAATTTTGACGATTTTATTGAGGTTTTTAAGCTTCGCCATACATTACCTTATGACATGACACCACAGAACCTAGCTTGGGCTACCTGTGGTATTGTTGAAAAAAAAACTTCCAACGCATATATGCCAGAAACGTTTTTGGCTGTCGTTTCACATCATGGAGCAATTACAACAGCTAGGCTCCAACTCGGGGAAAGTCCAAGAAACGAAATCCAGTAGAGAACCAACAAACAACACACTAGGAATCATAAACCCGACACCTTGTTGGTGAGAGAGACGGTGCATCGAGCAGCGTACGTACACCACCCGTGCTTCCATCCTGGAGGTGTTTTGCTTGTAGAACTGGAGTAGAGGTAGTACTTGGCGCAATGAAAATTAAAAATTGATATGCGCGGAGTGTAATACAAGCAACAATATTGCCCGATAAGTTTGGCACGATTTATTCCCCCCTCTCATTACCGCACCTTAACGATGCCTTGAGAATTTTGTGCTGCAAGCAAAACAAAATCGCGAAACTTCTCGCGCAACATAGCTGTGTTGAAAGTAACAAAGCAAATGTTGCACATTTTACCATTCCGCGAGCAAGTAAAGATGTCTACATCATAATTTATAATTTATTACTTTATAGTGCGCAAATATCAATTAAAAGAAATTTTCAAATGCGCATTACAATAAGCCTAAAAATGAATAAAAGCATGAATAATCTATAGAAATAGAAATAATACTAAAAATATTATTAATAATAATAAGAGACTATGAAATATACATAATCTAAAATGTATAATATAAAGAATATAAAGTCTTTACCAATGATTTAAAAGTAGTGATGCTTGTACAGTCTCTGATTCGCTGTGGTAGACTCAGTTCCACAGCTTTGGTGCGGCAAAGCTAAAAGACCTGCCCCCTAGTGTGACAAGTGACTTTTCCCTTAGGGGGGATTAACAATAAACTGTGGGTGTCCTTACATTTGTTAGCTCGCAAAGGTACCGTGGTGCGAGTCTATGAATAGCTTTCGTTCCTCTACTTGCAGCCAATGTAGTGACTACAAAAGTGGTGTTAAATGTCAGTATTTACTTTCTTGAAAGATAAGACTTTTTTAATCGTTGTAAAAAGTAGAGAATACTTCGCGCAATAGTGTGCATTTATTGCACGGGGAATGGTAATACGAGCAACATTTGCTCTGCAGCCTGCGACGCAATAATGTTGCGGGACAAGTTGTTCGATTGTTGCTCATATTACCGCACCAGGCCCTGGTGAAAATGAAATTGTTGCCACTTTGACCAGCATGGAAATTAGGCTGTCAGAAGTCTGTCATAATTATATATATGTGTATCTGTTGTATGGTGTGTTCATTTATTAGCAGGAGGGGATGTTGGCAAAATCAAATGAAAAGCTTTACAAATATAACCCAGCCCCCCTTCATGGTAGTGGCAAGAATTGCAACCCCTTTCATTATCCTACAATAGTTGTCATCCCACCTCAATGTGATAACCCCCCTAACTATTTTCTCAAAATAACATAACCCTCCTACAATTT